GAGCTAGAAGAAGGTCTAGAAAGTGAAATGGAAGCAAAAGGAAAGGTGTTCTCATCGAAAACTACATGACGAGATATGATGACCTTGTTAGTAGACAGATCAAGGCAACGGTAGCCTTTGTGATTCGAAGGGTAACCAAGAAACACACATAGGGTAGATCGAGGTTTTAACTTGTAACGGATGGAGTGAGAGAGATTTGGATAACATGCACAACCAAAAGTACGGAGATGATCATAGGAAGGAAGATTGTGATGAAGAATCTGATAAGGGGTTTTATGGTGGAGGAGAGGAGTAGGAAGACGATTTAAGAGATATGTGACAGTATTAAGAGCTTCGACCCAAAAAGAAGGAGGCATATGAGCTTGAAACAAAAGGGTGCGAATCATGTTGACAATAGTGTGATTGAGACGTTCAGCTTTACCTTTTTGTTGTGAACATGTTGTCGTAGATAATCGGAGGTGAATACCATGATTTTGAAAGAACTATCAGAAGGAGTGATTTTTGTTCTCACCACCTTGATCACATTGAAAAGTACGAAGAACAGCATTATATTGTGTTTTCACGAGCATAAAAGTTACAGAAAGTAGAGAAAACATCAACTTTGGAACGAAGGGGAAAAACCCAACAATAATGTGTATAATCATCCAAAAAGGTGACAAAATATTTATAACCAGAAGGAGAAAAGACTGGAGAAAACCATACATCCGAATGAATAAGTTCAAATGGCAAAGTAGCTCTTGATAAAGATGCCTCAAAAGGTAAACGTATATGTTTACCCAACTGACAAGCATGACAAAAACCTAAAGTAGAACTAGAACAAGAAAGCAGACATGGATTTATTAAAGTGGTCAAAACACAATGTACAGGGTGACCTAAGGGACGATGCAAAGTGAGAGACGAAGTGCAGGTGACAACAAAGGCAGGGATCGAGGTTGAGGAAGTGCTATGAATGAGAGGATAGAGCGGGCCAGAACTATTGCGCTGAAGAAGTCTTGTCTTCGTTGAGAGATCCTTAACAGAAAAACCAAAAGGGTCAAATTCGCCTGAATAGTTATTATCAGTAGTAAATTGGCGAACAGAAATGAGATTTTCAGTAAGAGATGGGACATAAAAAGCATCATGGAGATACAAAGGACGACTAGAAGTGGGAAGAATGGAAGAACCAAGTGATTTAATGGGAAGCAAAGCATCGTTGCCAACACAAACTTTGTCAGAACCAGTATAAGGACATAAACTAGTGAGCTTACCAGGGTCATTGGTCATGGTAGCACCCGCAGCTGAATCAAAATGCCAAGGTGTAGCCGGTTGAGTGAAAGCCGGGTAGGCGGTGAATGCAGGAGTGGAAAAATCGGGACCCATAGGAGCAGAAGGACACAACTGAGCAACATGTTCAAATCCACGACAATTATAACACTGAACAGAAGTGGGAAACTAAGAATTTCCAGAATTTGGAGGAGTGGATGACGGCGGTGTACCCAAAATAGAAGAACCTGCTGTAGGTGCACGAAAGGGATGTTGCTGCCACGGTTGCTGCCAATTGCCACGTCCTCTACCCCGGCGACCTCCTCTGCGATGGCCTCCACCATGCCGACCACCAGGAGAAGAAGAAGCTGGATGCGTAGAGGCCGCATAAGCCTGATGAACAGCAGGCGAAGAAGCATAATAGCTTGAAGACGCAGCAGGTGAAGAAGGTGAAATGGCAGAAGGAATCTGAACCTGCCAAGCAACAAAAACAGACGAAGAAGACGGAACAGTTGCTGATTTTTGCTGTTGCTTGGACAGCTTCGCTTCTTCAAGCAGCAGCCGCGACCGACATTCATCAAAAGTCGGTAACGGTTCCTGAGATGAAATCTGGGATGTAGCTCCATTATATTTGGGTCCCAGCCCCATAACTACTTGCATAACCGCATCTCTATACGTAATTGAATCCCCAACAGAAATCAAACAATCATATAGCTCTTTCAATCGTTCTAAAAAGGCAGCCGTAGAGAGATCTCCTTTTTAACAGTGATAAAATTCTAGTCTGAGATGAACAATTCGAGACTCAACATGATCACGAAACAACTTCTCAATTTTATCCCAAGCATCAAAAGCAGTGAGTGAAAGTACCTGGAGTAATGATAGTACGCAGGATTTCACGAGAAAGGGTAGCCTGAATCCACGAGAGAACAAGAGAGTCAATTTGAATCCATTCGGCATAACCAGGATCAACAGCTGGAGGACAGGGGAGAGAGCCATCAATGTGACCATAAACCTGATGACCTTTCAACACCGGAATAAACAACTCGCGCCAAATCAGATAGTTCGTGAAATCCAGAACTTCATAGACGTGATTTTTTATGTTGTTGAGAGTAAGGGCAAGATGACAAGAAGAAGAAAGAGCAGACGATGAGGAAGAATCAGAGGCAGCAGCAAAAATGGTGGACGACAGACGGGTTTTTGGATCGGCATTCACATCGGAAAGATTTGCCATGAGGACGGCCGGAAAAAAAATAAAAAATTCTAGGGTTTACGATGTGACGGCTAGCTCTGATACCATATAGAAGCCCATGGGGTTCCACCTCAAAACCAATTGGGAATGAGGGGAGTAGCCCATAGACTTATATACTGATACCAAGTCTTTCCCACCACCGATGTGGGATACTCAACACTCCCCCGCAAGCCCAACGTATCTTCTTTGTTTGGGCTTGTCTATTTTTTTTAGCCCAGTCACTGCCTCACGTCTTAGCCCTACCAGTTCTATCACTTCATGCTTGGAGTCCAACTCTTGGCGGGCTGGCTCTGATACCATATAGAAGCCCATGGGGTTCCACCTCAAAACCAATTGGCAATGAAGGGAGTAGTCCATAGTCTTATTTGTTGATATCAACTCTGTCCCATTACCGATGTGGGATACTCAACATGGTACTCGACCATTGGTACTTTTCCTTCATGGTTTGCCCGACCTTTGGTATTCCTGGCGCCGCCAGATGATCTTCATGGCCGACCATGGCTACCGGGCCGTGGCTCCTGACCTCCGTGGCTATGGCGAAACCACCGGGGCCCCAATTTAGGACAGCTCCAAGTTCACCACTCTTCATGCAGTTGGAGATATAATAGGACTGCCTATTGCACCAGATGAGGAGAAAGTGTTTGTAGTGGGTCATGATTGGGGAGCTATGATTGCTTGGCACTTGTGCTTGTTTAGGCCTGATAAAGTTAAGTCCTTGGTTAACCTGAGTGTTCCTTTTATGCCCAGATATCCCTCAACTAATAAACTTGATGCACTCAGGATCCTTGGTCAGTGCTTGTTTAGGCTTGATAAATTCAAGGCTTTGGTCAAATTCAGTGTTGCATTAATCCTACCAAGAAATCCATGGATTCTTGTAGGTCATGCTCTGAGGATTGCCTGGAACATGCTCTTGTTTAGGCCTGATAATGTAAAACACTTGGTCAACTCGAGTGTTCCTTTCGTGCAAAGAAATCCCTCCATTAATCTAGTTGATGCACTGAGGATTGCTTATGGGGATGATTACTACATCTGTAGATTCCAGGTTTTGATCATCTGTTTTGCCTCAGTAATTTCCGCTTCCGAAATAATTGTTCAGTTTAGATTTGAACTTAATAGACAATTTTATATTAATAATTGTCCAATTACAGGATTATCTTTGATTGTTCCAGTGCACCAGTATACATTAGAAAAAAGCACCTAAAACCATACACCGAAAAAAAGACCCAAAACCACCCTACTAAATGTTTGCTTTGTGCGGTTTATTCTCTCACCCTGCAGATACCAGGTGAAATTGAGGTTGAACTAGATCGGATGGGTGTTGAAAACTTCATGAAGAGGATGCTCACATATCGCACTCCGGGTCCACTATTTTTCCCCAATGATAAAGGGTTTGTTGGCACTACAGGACGTTGAGGTTCTTTTGGGGCTTCAGGTTGATGGACGTCTGGTTACAGGACATCATACCACGCCTGAAGGTGGTTGGGCTGCCTATTTGGAGAGGATGTTTGGATTTAGGTTCAAGACAGAAGAGTCCAGATTGACTAGCGTTTCCATCACTGAAATAAAGACTCACATAGGGAACAATCCTTTGACGGACCAGTCCCCCGACGAGGCACACTTACAGTGAGCCCGTTGTTTTGTTGGAGGGCTAGTTGGAGGATTACTGTTCTCTAACACTACGAGAAACAGTTTTCCACTCGATCTTGTGTATTTTCTGCATACTCCCGAGATATGCTCGGAGTACAGATGGGGTAGCGCGGCACTATGTTACTTGTACCGCAGCATGTCCAAGTCATCTCTGGCCGCTTCCACAAAGGCTATTACCGGCTGTGTGATTCTTCTTCAGGCATTTTATCTTTTGGTTTCTCTCTCTTTTCATTTTATATTCTCCCATAATTATTTGTGATATTAGCCAATGATCCATAAATTCTGAATTAGCTCTGGGCCTGGGAGCGGGTTTTGACGGTTCAGCCAAAGATACTGGGTGGGGAGCTCGATCTTTCTCATTGTCGATTGGGCACGTGATAATCTTACACAGCAAACCTCCGCACATTTTGACATTGTCATTTGTACTGTCATGTCTATATTTAATGTTAGTTTTTCCGTGCAGGTGGTCCCGTGATAAAAAAGTTCAAGGTATCACGCGGTTCAATTTGGCTGCCTACCGGGATCAGCTTGCAGTTCTCGCAGAGTCAGATGTTAGTATTCATTTCAATTACTGTAACATATTCTTTATTGGATTTTTTTAATGGTGCCGGACTTTTAATTTCCTATCTCTTACTGTATTACCACTGCAGTTTGTATGGATGCCGTACATGACTCTTCTGGGTCGTATTGCCAGGGTTTGTCTTGTGGAATAGGGCATATGGCGATCTCAGACATGGCTCCTCTGCGGTGATGTCATTGCGCCACACAATCCCAGTAGGGTATTTCACAATTTGGTTATCACCAGCGGATACCCGGCGATGCATTGCTTCTTACTGCGGGAGAAATTACTAGCCTGCTTAAGATGAAGCTGTTTGGAGGATCTGATAGGAGATGGATAAAACAACTAGGGATATATCTCCAGGTTTGGAATGATCGCCACGGCAGACTTGTCGGGACTGATGATGATCATGTTGGCGAGCCTACAGCAGATCCAGAGTATCTCTTGTGGTACCATCAGGTTATTGTAAAGTATGTTACGGATCCGACGGACTCTGAAAACACGAGGGGTTTTCACGGCTCTGCAGAGACCTTGCGCCTCATGGTGAGTCTTTCGTACAATTTCTTTCGCCTACAGTCCATTATGTAATTTATTTTCATTGTTATCGATTTACGATTCTTTCTAACAAAAATTTCAGGCCACTTTGATGGAGGACGTTCGTAGTCTGAGTATTATAGGCCAGTGCACTTTCGACAAGGATTCCTTTGGTTATGATCGCTTTGGTGAGATTGCCCAGTTGCTGAGCGGGCGTTGTCCGTCATTGCAACAAATGTTGTACGTCACGATCTCGAGAGGCAGGTTGAGGTACATGACATTTTGAGTCAAGAACTTGGTCCTATAGACCCGACCCAGCAATATCCACCTCCCAGACCTCCGAGGCATTCGCGCAGGTCTCAGCGTGGGCGTGGGGGGCAATAGACAATCACGCCCACTCAGCCACATCAGTCCTCCCAGTATCAGCAGTCTCATATCCCCTTCACTGACGGTTCATCCCATCAGTCTCCACATCATTCATCCCATCATTCTCCACATCATTCTTTGCCGACCCAACAGGCGTTTTACCGTCCCATTATGTCTCCCCAGCACAAGCAGTCTCATTTTGCCTTCACTCAGTTTTCCTCCCCTCAGACTTCTTAGCCTCAGTTTGGAGATTCTTTTATTGACTTTTCTAGGTTCCTGCAAAGTTCTCTAGATGGCCAGTCCATACATTACACGAGCAACTTTCTTTCGAGTATGTTTGAGGGTGTTGCGGGTCAGCATCAGGCTGATGACCTAGCTGGAGGTGAGCATGAGAGTCAGGGTGAAGATGAGGATGAGGATGAGGATGAGGATAAGGATGCAGACCAGCAGGATCAGTTTGAGGGTCAAGGTTATCAGCGCCATGAGGAGCAGGAATCGAGTCAGACTCTAGGGACTCCAACGTTGGCTGTGAGTAAAGGCCAGAGAGTGACAAAGGAGCCCGATAGATTGACTTATAGCCATTTTCGTGCTAAAAAGTCCAAGAAGAAGTAGGGTACTAGATTTTTTATGTAGTATTATTAGACTTGTATTTTTTTTTTCCTTTTGTTATGATTTGTTTTTTTTTTCCTTTTATTATGACTTGTAGTATTTTGTTTTGACTTGTATTAATATTCTTAAACAATGATTTCACCTGCATCGTTGCTACTTTATTAATATTTATCAAACACACCTTCGCCAATCAAATCTAAAAACAAAAATTTTATTTTATTTCAAACTATATTTTATTTTTTTAATAATTAATAGTTGCTTCATCTTTTTTTTAAAAGAAAAACAAACGGCAAATTATTTAGTTTATCCAAACAAAAGATGTAATTCTTAGCTCTTACTTACCAACCGTCTATTAAAATTACCACATCCACAAAAGGATAGTACCAGATACCTAAAACAAACATTCAATAAACTAAAGTTCTCTTCAAAATTCAGATGCGGTGCATTAAACAATCGCATTGGCAGTACTTGCAATCCTAGGCCAAAGATCATCACACTCCTTTCCAATGGGACCACTGATTGTAGAACCTTTGATTTTTCCCTTGGGATTAACAATCACTCCAGCATTATCTTCAAAGTACATGTAGAAACCATTTTTTCGGCGTCATGACTTGCGCTGGCAGACAATGACTGCGGGCATGACCTTCTTCCTGAGATCGGGCTTACCCTTCTTGACGGTGACCATAACCATGTCACCGATGCAAGCAGAAGGGAGACGGTTGAGCCTACCCTTCGTTCCCTTCAATGAAATGATGTAGAGGTTCTTTACCCCGGTGTTATCGGTGCAATTCACCGTCGCAGCCACTGAAAGACCCAGAGACATCCTGAACTTGTTACCGGCTGATCCTTCGCGTCCTCGCTTCGACATTTTTGCTGTCTCCCCTGTGAGGTTACCGAAGAAGAGAAAATAGTTGCTTCGTCTTAAGTGTTGGTAAATTATAATAGATATTTCTTAAAATTTATTCATATTTTAAGCTTTTTTCTTATATTGAAACCGTCATAATTAATATAAACAATTTATAAATTAAATTACATCTAATTAATACAAATCCATAAAATTACGTCATTTATCATTATTGAAAATTTTTCATATAAAATTATTTTATAAAGTAATGATTAAATTTTTACTATAATTTTTTAAAAATTTAATATAATTTTTTTAAAATGTAATAAATTATAATAATTATTTCATACTTTTAATAATTTATATTTAGTATAGCTCTATTTCATTTAATGAGTATCAATTGTAATATTATATTTTTATTGAAAATTTAATTTTCCTATTATTAAAATTATCAATATAATTTTCCTCTTTATAGCTCTATTCAAAATATAATGATTATCAATTATAATTTTAAAATTTTCCTTTAATTTCATTATTAAAATTTAATAATTTTTTGAAGTAAATTTCCCTAAAAATTTTTAAACTAGGCAAATTAATCAAATTTTTATGACTATTTCCTTTTTTGATTTAAATAAAATATTAGTTTTTATTTTTTTCGTGCTTCAAAAACGCGAATTTGTATTTAATCAATTTTTTTACCATTAATTATTTTTAGCATTTCTGAAATCCGAAGAGTTTTCAAAACGCGAAAAAAAAATTTTAGCGTTTTCAAAACGCGATTTTGTTTATTTTCGCGTGTTTGAAGCGCGAAAGAATTAGTTTTGGCCACAATCAAAACCCTAGATATATTTTGTTCTTCAAAATTTTTTTGAGATATATATAAGTAAATTTCCCTAAACTTTTGCATCACAGCTACTACTGTTTCGTCAAGAAAATAATTGTTCTGTTTGAAATAATACCTGCTAGACTAGAATCATTTTGGGAGAGAGAGTAGTAGTAAGACTACCATCATTTAATTGCTGATTGGAATCTATATATAGCTGAATTGGAAGGCAATATTAACACAGATAAAGTGAGTGTAAATAAAAGATGGAAATAATATCAAAGGAGTTGATAAGACCCTCGTCTCCAACTCCACTTGAAAAGAAAGACCACAAACTGTCTCTTTTGGATCAGTTCTCCTCACATTATTTTATCCCTATCCTTTTCTTTTATCAAAAACAGTCACCTCACTCAAAAGATGTCAATGTTGATGATCCTTCAAAAACGACCCTTCATTTAAAACTGTCTCTGTCAGAGTCTTTAACTAAATTCTACCCTTTAGAAGGCAAGTTGAACCCTAATCGCCGCGCTGTTAGTTGCGACGACTCTGGAGCACTTTTTGTAGAACCTAAGTTTGATGCATCCCTCTCACAAGCAGTCCAAGCTGGCCCTTGTGAAAGTTTTTCTCAATACTTGCCATTTGAACCAGTTATTGGTGGCCGCGATGATAAACTATTACCATCAAACCCAAAAGAACAAACAGTATTCGCAGTCCAAATCACTTGGTTTAGATGTGGAGGAAATGCTATTGGAGTATGTATGTCTCACAAAGTAGCCGATTTTTCATCTCTGGTGATGTTCCTGGATTCGTGGTCCGCCTTAAATCGCGGTGAAACTGTTGGATCAGTACCAAACTTTGATTTGGGGAGGCAAATTTTTCCCCCACTAGACCGTGATGTAGGCTTGCCTAATCTAGTCCGCTTAGAGGAGGACAGGAAGGTTGGGTTGAAGCGGATTGTTTTCGGCAAGGAGAAGCTACTAGGGTTGAAAAAACTGGCAACTTCATCCCACTCGCCGGCATCATCACCGGTAGTGAAGGATCCCACTCGGATGGAAGTGGTTACTGCGTTTCTTTGGAAGCATTTTATCAATGTGGAACGAGCTAAAAATCAAGGTGGTTGTGCAAAAGAAATAATGTTCAACATGTGGCATGCTGTGAACTTGAGAAGTAGGATGAGCAAATTGGCTGCATCATCAATATCTTCTAATGGTGGTGGTGGTGATGATGATGATGATAGCATTAATGATCGAGATGAGTTTCCTTTTGGGAACTTAGCAATTGCTACAAAAGCGTCATTCATCTCCAATGAGAATGATGAGGCGGGAGCAAAAGATTTCGGTGATCTGGTTAGGCTCACGAGTGACGCATTCAAGATTGTCAACGAGGATTTTGTTCTCAATTGTGCGGTTCCTTTTTTGAAAACCCGGGATGACAATAGAATTACGGAAATATTATGGCCACCAACAATGATGATGAGCCATAGCATGTTTACCAGTTGGTGCAGATTCCCTTTGTATGAAATCGACTTTGGTTGGGGAAACCCCACAGCGGTTGGCGTTGCTGGTCAACAGAACCCCAATGTGGTGTTCTTAATGGACACAAATGATGGAGAAGGAATAGAGGCATGGATGGCCATACCAGAAGATGACGAATTGACTTTGCTTCCGAACGACTCACTTTCACACTCGCCTCCCACTGAAATCTAGGGCATCCAACAAGAACTGAAAAATTGAAGAAGCTTTCCTCCCCTTGAAAAGCCGACAACCTAAGTAGGCGAAAGGAAAAGCTCCCTTATCCATTCCCAAAGTTCTCTTAATCATTTCAACTCTTCTCGGATTACATTTCTCAGAAGCTACAAAAAAGCTTTTATGACGACTAACTTTTTGGCCAGAAGCAGCTTCATATTGATCAAAGAATTCATTGATTTTCTTTAAAGAACGCCTCAGCCCCCTTGTGAAAATGATCAAGTCATCCACAAAGCACAAGTGTGAGACAACAAAACCACCCGCAGGTACACCATATGGTGCAATCTTGCCTCTAAGAGCCAAAGCTTTTAGTCTTCTAGTTAGAGCTTCGGATACAAGAATGAACAAGTAAGATGAAAGTGGATCACCTTGCTTAATACTGCGCAATACTTTAAAGTACCCCACTGGACTGCCATTAACCAAAACTGAGAACCAGCTATCCCTGAGATTATTCAAAATCAATTTTACAAAGGGCTGAGGGAAACCGAATTTGTGTAAGACCAACTCAAGGAAACACCAAGAAACCCTATCAAAGGCTTTCATCATATCAACTTTAATAACCATATTACTTCCCACCACTTTGTGATCAATAAATTGGCACAAATCTTGAGCAAGTAAAACATTATCAATGATGTCTTGACCTTCCAAGAACGCCGGTTGCTCTTCCGATATCAATCTTGGCAAGAAAACTTTGAGACTTTCAGTAATCACCTTAGTAAAGATCTTGTTCAGGAAATTACAAAGGCTAATGGGACGAAAGTCTGCAAAAGAACAAACCGTTGCCTTCTTAGGAATAAGGGAAATCAGAGTGCTAGTAATAGTTCTTGGAAGCGGAACGCCAAGCATAAATTCTTGGCATGCTTTCCAAAGATCACTTGCTATGATACTCCAACAGCTCCTGTAAAATACTCCACCAAAACCGTCCACCCCCGGCACACTTTCTGCATTTAAATTAAACACCGCCTCCCGCACTTCTTCTAAGGAAATAGGCCGCATCAATTTTTCATGGTCTGATTGATCAAGAACTGTGGGAATATGCTGCAAGAATAAATCATGAAAATCATCATTTTGACTTGCATCCTCGGTTAGGAGTTCCTTAAAAAAATCTCCCGCCTCAGCCTCAATTAAAGACGGTTCAGCAAGCATTACACCATTTCTAGACTGAATTTTGTATATTCCTTGCCTCAATCTCCTTTCTTTTAAAGAAGCATGGAAGTAAGAAGTATTACCATCGCCATCTTTCAGCCATTTCAACCTTGCTTTTTGCTTCCAGAAATCTTCATGTTCTCTGAGTTTTTGAAGTAGTGAAGCTTTAGCTAGCTGCAAGTTCATTCTATCGTGGACAGAACCAGAACGATCATATAAGTCTTCAAGATGTTGAACCTTGGATTCTGCCTCTTTCAAGTTGTCAAATACATTACCAAAAGTGTGCTTGTTCCACTCCTTCAAGCGCTGCTTCAATCTACGCAATTTAACCGAAAAACCAAGCATTCCAAAGGCATCAACAGGTTGCTCCCAGTTTTCACTAACCACACTAAGGAAATCGTGCCTTCTAAGACACATATTTTGGAACCGAAACAATCTAGGTTTGCTTTCACCTTGCGCAGCAAACAGATGCAACATAGGGCTATGATCCGAAGTAGTTCGATTTAGGTTTTCAATAGAGGAAACTGGAAATAAATCTTGACACTCTTCTGAGAATAAAAGCCTGTCAAGTTTTTTACTCACCCACCCCGTTTGGCGAGAGCCACCCCATGTGAACTCCTCACCCACAGTCGGAATCTCAAGCAAACCACAGGCATCAATACATTCATTAAAATCACTAATTGCTCCATGATCTTGCACTGAGTTACCAGAGTATTCGTCTAATGAACGAATCACATTAAAATCTCCTCCAATCATCCCTGGCACAGCCAGATTGTTCAATCGAAAATTTTCCATGTTTCACCAAAAAGCCAACCTAGCTGTCTTGGTGGATTTTGCATACACAGCCGACAGATAGAAGCGACTAGGAACCAACAAATGCGATAGTTCAAAATGCATGACCTGACCATGATCTTCTAACAAGGAAACAGTAAACTCTTTCTGATAGAAGAACCAGATTTTATTGGATTGAGAAGCAAAAGCAACTTCAAAATTTAACTCCCTTCTTATTTCTTCCAGACTATTAACCTGAACCATTGGCTCTAACACAATTAACAAAGTAACATTATGCCTTCTGAGTAAGGATCTCAAACGCCTTTGAGACGCTTGATTTTTTATACCTCGAATATTCCAGATTATTTGTCTAATCATTGGAAAAAAAAGATTAAAAGAGAACCAGTTCAGACGAGAAGATTGCCGCGGAACAATGTTAAGCAGCAACTTAGCCTTTTTCACGTTTTGATTTACGACCTCTTTTCTTTGGAACAGAATCATTCCCAGCCGTAAGTTCAAGAGATTCAATCAAACTTGTCCCCCTCAGACCATCGTTCATCATCACTTTTGACATACTCATCCTCACTGTCCTCAATCAGACTTCGAGAGCCAACATTGCATTCATCGGAATGCTTATTTATCAATTGTTTGGCCTGTGGAATTAATGCTAAGGCTAGGGTTACACGCTTTTCGGGAGCTGAATTATTCTCAAGCAACGACTCTTCAAGCAGAATTCGTTCTACATTCTCCTCACTAGAGTCAGATCCATTTATCACTTCGTCAATGTTCGCAAGAACAGAGAATCGATTCCCTTTAGGAGAAACCTCAACCTGCGAAGCTTCAATTGGCTGAGTCGCAACCTGTTTAGAGACCCAATTTTCCTCTTCCTCAGGTACACCTTTTGGAGGCGTAGAGTCGGGAATGTCCATTGGGATCACTGTCTTCTCTTTCGCTGAAAGACCCAAAGTTGATTCCCCAGGGATCGACACTAGTCTTGAATGAAAAACCACCGCATCATTCAGGTTTCCACAAGGGGGGGCGCCTAGGGTTTCCGCAGGGGGGATCCTTCATTTATTGAACCCGCTTCTACTGCCTTAATGATTAACGGATTAGCGTTTATAATTTCAACCTCAACCTCTGACTTCTCATGAGGTTTCTTCGATCCCAATTTCACTTTTTGCTTGGCCATTTTGATTCCATTCTTCTTTTCATTCGGAGCAGTTACCTTATCCGCAACAATTTTTTGCGGAGTTGGCTTTCCAATACGGCAGTCCCTTTCCTTATGCCCAATTTTGCTGCACTTTGGACAATACGCAGGGACAAGTTCATAAGTGAAAATTTGCTCATGCTTACGTCCTCTCTTCCCGATCTTCACTGATTTTGGTAACTCTTTCATTAGATCCACTTCAACACAAAACCTTGCCGCCGATGGTCTTGTCATGTTCAAAGTGGGCGTATCTACCTTCAAGGGTTGTCCTATAGTTGTAGCCATTGAGAAGATGACCTCCGGCTGCATGTATTCAATTGGCAAGTCGCAGAGAGAAACCCAAATAGGGACTACTGGCGGATCTTCTTCAAAACGGAAACCAGGAGTCTATTTTAAAATCCGCATTGAGTAGCCTGCAATGTTCCAAAAAGTCCGAATCCAACATCTCTAATAGTCCTCTTCCTCCTCAAAGCGGATCAAGACGTGCCTTGAATTCATAAGACCTAGATTATAGCCACCATTGAGTCCAATCTTCTTGAATTTGTTATGGACTTCCTCCATCTTAGGACGACCATACGAAAATTTACCCACTAAACTCAATCTATGGGCCATAACAAGTTTTTCAAATTCATCATCTTCATATTCCAAAATTGTTGTTAAACTGCCTAGATCCATTTTAAGGAGTTGTAAAATGGTGAGATGGATCCTGCCAGATCCAAATTCATTTATTTTGAATACTGATGGCTCTTCTATTGGAGATGCGGGTTATGGGTTTGTCATCCGCGGCGAAGGAGGTTATTTCCTTTATGGTGAATGTGGCTTTTTGGGGGAAGGAGATAGTTTATATGCTGAATTATGCGGCATTCTCTTTGGATTGCAAAAGTGTGATTATTTACAGCTCCCAAATGTGGTTATCAAACAGACAGTAAGTTACTTTCAGATGCTATTGTTAGAAAAAGTGGTTTTCCATGGAGATTTTTTCTGGAATTGATAGAAATATGTTCAATTATTGATCGCAATGGGTACTCTATTACTCATATTTATAGAGAAGCAAATTCGGTTGGTGACAGCCTAGCCAAGGTTGCTTCAAGTGATATCTCCACTACTTACGATTCTTTTAGCTTGTTGCCTCGCTATGTAAAAGCCTTTGTGGTTTTAGACCAAAGGTCTTATCCATATTTGCGTAGTTGAGAATAGCTTATATAATAGAGAGTCTTTGTAAAAGTAAGGGGTCAAACCATCCTCTGCTCTTGAGATCTTTATTCAAGATGGTAATAAAATTGTGGAAAGGAGAGGCTAAGGAACTAGATGGCATGTATGTCCATCCCTTGGGTAGACCCCTTGGGTGCATTATGTCATCTAGCACTGCCTGGCATAGAAATTTACCTCCTGGGTAGACTCCTTGAGTTTTTTTATGTCAGTTGGAACCCGAATACCTCCTTATTCTCCATGTTTAATTAAAAAAAAAATACTAAAATGATCAATGACAAAAAATACTTAAAGATACAAAATTTTTTATATTATCAAATTTAAAATTTTTTTCACTAATATAAAATATGGGAGTAATTTAATTAACTCTAGTAAAATATGTTGTATGACTCGTTTAAAGCACAAGTTCTTGGGGGTAAAAATCGACTAATGTAAAAGTGGGAAAAAATTTACTTAGAAAATTAACATTATGCAAAAAAAAAAAAAAATCTCCTATCAGCAATTAAGAAAATATTAAACTTTATTTTTAAAGTAAACATAACTATATTTTTCTCATCATTTAATACATTACTTTTTCCATATTGATACTAAAATATTATCATCATTAAAAGATTTAATTTATGTGTTGAATGTGTTGAAAAATAAAATGAGAAAACAAGATGATTTTATTTCAAGAGTTAGAGCCATGTTTGTTTAATTATTATGACAAATTATTCAAGAGTACTGCCTCTTTACTAATTACTTACTCTCCACTACCCGTAATTTACATTTTCCATAATAAGGATAATGCCAATCCTTTTAATTTGTATCATTTAAAATTTCGATACACTTATGAGTGATATAAAAGATTTTTAACATGTAAAAAATTAATTTCTAGCTAATTGTATTAATCTACGTGCAATTTTAAAAATGGCATATATTTTCAAAGGAGTAGTGAATACAACAACGCGAATGAATTTGGGATAAAACCAGCATGTAGGTGATTGATTCAACATCACATGATGGTGATTGAGAAGGTGCATGGTTGGCATACATGTGATGTTCTTCAAAATTTTTTAAATTCATTACCACTAAGTAGGGGGGTGGAACATTACTTGACATGTTAATGAGTTGGAACAATCAATATTCGAGAAACAAAATCGTGGCCAGATGAGCTACAAGTCTCTTTGTATTCCTAAGTAGTCAAATATTGTTGTTTACCAGTTTTACAATCAACGGTTGACCTTGGTGATTTAGATTCCTTGCAGGAAACGTGATAACGTGGAAAGAATCCGGAACAAGATTGAGTTTGGAGCAGCTGGAAGAGTGATAAATAGTTTACTGCCGGCTCATTGAGATTTTTTTTTTTTTCACCCTTAAAGTTCATTGTAAAATGGTGCTAGAAAAATCAACATTCATAAATCTTTTGATTTTGTGTTAATAATGGAATTTAGATCAAACTACCAAGATTTTTAGGCAAGTTATCTGCTGCGATTTCGAGGTTGCACGGTTTAAATAATGTATCCCTTCACATGGCCCGTCCTTCCCCTGTTCATGGTTTGGTGGATTCTATTTAAATGGCTGAAATTGAAATGGAAGGCAAATTAACCAGAACCAGAACCAATAAGCTAGAGTGAGAGAAAGAGAGAGAGATGGAAGCTGGTGCCAAGATAGAAATAATGTCGAGGGAGTTTGTCAAACCCTCAACTCCAACCCCCGAAGAAAAGAGAGAGCTTAAACTGTCGTTTCTTGATCAACTTCAAGGGCTTACTTTTATTCCTTTTCTTTTCTTCTATCAAAATGAGCAGCCTGGAGCTGAGTCAAAATCCGAAACAACAACAACCACCCTGCGTTTAAAGCAGTCTTTATCGGAGTGCTTAACCAAGTTCTATCCCTTAGCAGGCCAGCTCAACCCGGATGATCATCATGTTTCCGTCAAATGTGATGACTCTGGAGTTCTATTTATTGAAGCCAAGCTTGATGTTTCCCTCTCAGAAGCTGTCCAGAATCCGTCTCTCGAGAGTTTTGCGCAATACTTGCCATTTGAGCCACTTTCCAATGATGTTACATTGTTGGGTAGTTACCCGAAAAATGAAATACTCCTAGCAGTACAAATCACTTGGTTCAGATGCGGAGGAAACGCCATTGGCGTGTGCATATCGCATAGAGTTGCCGATTTCACGTCCTTGATCACATTCATGAATTCATGGGCGGCCCTGAACCGGGGTGACAGTACCTGCCCGAAATCATCAACTCTGGTACCCGATTTCGATGCAGGGAGGAACCTTTTTCCTGCACCGGAGATTCCTATCTGCCCCCCTCAGATTGATGTGCTAGGGAAAGAAAAGTACGTGTATAAGAAACTTGTGTTCAGCAAGGAAAAGATATCAGAATTGAAACAACTTGCAATTGCTGCTTCCTCCTCCTCATCATCATCATCATCATCGGTGTTGAAGGATCCCACACGGGTAGAAGTCATTTCTGCTTTCATCTGGAACCACTTGATCAATGTGGCACGAGCTAAGGATCAAGCTGTGGGAGGTAATGATGACAAAACAATGTTCAGGATCTGGAATTCTGTGAACGTGAGAACAAGAATCAGTAGCTTGAATTCTTCTTCTTCTTCTTCTTCTAATGACTTCCCGTTTGGCAACTTTTCAATTCTCGCGATCGCTTCCTTCACTCCTCCCGATGAGATTACTGCGGGAAATCCTGATTATTACCGTGATCTAGTTCAACTCACCGGTGAATCAATGCGGAAAGTCGATGAGGATTACATTTTCAACTATGCCCTTCCTTTTATGAAAATCTTGGCCTCAGGTTCGGCTGAACTGGAGGTGGATATGCAGAAACCAACCATGAAGATAAGTGATAGGGTTATCACCAGTTGGTGCAGATTTCCGATATACGAAGTGGATTTTGGTTGGGGCAAACCTGTTTCGGTTGGCCCGGCGTCCAGTAAGGCACCTGCACCTGGGGTTCTGTTATTTGGCACAAGATGCGATGACGGAATTGAAGCAGTACTTACCGTGTTAGAAGATGAATTGTCTTTACTTCCGGATAAGTTTCTTTCACTCGCAACAATTAATTTCTTTTGACAGTTAAGTCATCTCACTGATCAATCTTATGTACTCCTTTCGTCCCGAAATGTCCGTCTTATTTGGATTTTCATTTCATATAACAAGTTGTATTTAAAGTGAAAATTAAAACCAGACAATCTTTTTGTTTCTAGAAAAGGAAACCAGATAATATTTTTAGAACAGAGGAAAATATCATTTTCTCCTGTTAGTTGTTTATATATGTGTGGGACAAAGACACCCTCCTCCTCCTGTCCCATTTTTAGATTCTTTTCTTCATTTTGTTAAACTCCGTGGTATTTGAAACTACACAACAACTCCCATGTGGTAAAATAATATCTAATGAACCCTCTTATGGTTAACACCGACGTTTGTAAATCTGAGAAACACACATTAACAAACGGCAAGAATGGACTTCCCCATTTTAGCCATCTTCTCTTTCCTTGATTGTTTCTCTTCATCTATGGTGGGGTGTCAAGCCAACAAACAATTTAACCTACTTTCAAACTAGTAGCATAGGAAAGCAAGGTCGTCTCCTCAAGGAATGGTGGATTCGTTTCTTTCAAATAAGTAACCGAAAGGGGGGTTTTGAGTTTTTAAAACTAAAATGTAGTTAAAATAAAATTCAAATGATAGAGTAAAAAAAATGAAAGCAAATATGAGAAAGTTTCTAGTCAAAAGATTTTATATCCACCTTGGTCTAGACAATTGATCATAGATGCAATGATATGCTCAATCACTTATAGGCAAATTAGTTTTCGTTGTTGGAACCTCTTAACAACTCAATCTTGAACTAAGTTTAGTGATTAAGAAAACCTTCATTAAACACACTAGTCGAAATTCAATCCTGGAACCTCCTAAGATGAAGAAAACGACTGTATTAAGTACAAAGACCCAATTCTAATTCCTACGAAACAAACCTTGTTTAATAAAAAAAGAGATTACTTGTTCTTATAACATAACAAAATCACTTACCAAGTAATTTAATTATATCAGTCCCTTTTAAAAAAACAAACCTTGCTGCCTTATTAGTTGTTAACTACCATGAAATAATGAATGCTACCAGCTATTCATGAATCCAAAATCTTTATATCAATCATTCAAAAGAACAAGCAAATACTTACAAAGAATTGAGAAATGAAAAATATTTAGATCTCACAACCATTAAGAACCAAGGTTTCAATATCTTTCAACTGGAAAAGTAATTTAGTTACACATAATAATGCCTTACTGAAGCAAAACTATGGAGAATGAGGAAGAATAACGCCCAAAAGGGCTAGATTGGCGGCTTAAGACCACTCTTCTTCTTCTCACGTTCAGCCGTCCGCCAAAAGAAAAGAATAAAATCAATTTATATGGGAACAAGTAGGTCAGCCGCTGGAGACAAACAAAGAATCCCGAAATTCGCAATTAGGTCCCTCAAGTTTGGCAAAATTACATTTTGACCCTAAAACTTTTTTAATTTTTTATTTTAGTACTTATTTCGGTTTGGCCAAACGGGAATGCAGCGTCAATGCTGGAATTTCTTCTATAAAGCTCAATTTTGGACTATGATTCTTGTGCCCACACGAGAATGTGATGTCATTGCTCCCTTATTGTGCTTCCTTATCAAAATGCTCAAAAAATGCTTGTTTATGTAACATTTTTCTCCATCTCGGCTTCAATCACTCCTAAGAACCAAAAACATCAAAATACACAACATAATTGCACAATCTAATCTAAAATGCTATACAAATACTCATAAATAATATGAAACTTCAAGACTTATCAAAATCCCCCACACTTAGATTTTTGTTTGTCCTCAAGCAAAGCAACTCAAAGTAAACATGATAATATCATTTCCTATAGACTCTAACATGCGAGAATTGTCAAAACTTGTCTCAGATTCTAGTCTCATTAGAGACAAATAATGTACACCACGGTTCAATACCCCTTGATCAAGTCAGAAACTCACTTCCGTGAGTGTGTGAAACAGACCACAAAACAAAGTGTTGCTTAACCTAAGATTAGATTCAATTACTTTCAAGTGGACATTCTTGTGATCAGTACCTATTTCCTTCTTACCTTCAACTAGGGAATTCTTACTGAGGTTCCGATCTAAGGGCTTCCTCTCATTTTTTGCAAGCATCATTGGCTGCATCTTTCACCCTCGTACCTTTTCATCCATTTGTCCAAATTGGCTTTTGTTCTGGATCTTTTCCACTCAGGCCTATATCAAGCACACTTTTCAGCAACTATGGTAATCTAAGCATTTAATTGAACTCACCAAGCCTGAGGACACTCCTCTCTTTGATGCCATATCTCACCTCTCAAGGGATTAAATGCCACATTGGACACTCTGCCTATACCCCCTCATTCGATAAAGCACTTAACCTCATATTCAACCGCCAACTTTCCGCTTTTTTCCAAGGTATTTAGGCTAATACAAACCACTATGGGCTCGATTCGAGGCTGCCATAATGCGTCGGTTGCCTTAGTCTAACTCCCAGATTTATAGTCCCCCCAGGTTTCAGACAAGTGGACTCCAGTATAAGATCACAACAATGCATTAATGCATTCAAGATTTTAAAAGTTTAAGCCCAAAGCAAACACATTGTCAAGTGGAATGTTGTGCATAAAGATGTGGTTATGAGTTTCTAACATGCTTAAGAGTGATCCTAAACATGTATTTTTAAAATCATATGTAACCCTCAAAATTGAATTCATCACAGACTATTGACAATTCTCTTTTTTTTTTTTTTAAGACAAACACAACGCAAAATCCTTTCCCCCACACCTAAAACATACATTGTCCTCAATGAATGAAACATAGGCAGAGACAAACAACAAAAGTACATGCAAACTCCCACATAATGTAAAAGAAAAAGAAACGGTACTTCCTTGGAATTTTGTAGTGGCGAAACGAAATTTGGAGTAAAGGTCCACAGCTTTTGATGCATTTGCACATGGGTTGACCAACCATAAAAATACTCCTTCAAAGCTTGCTGTCACACTTAAACAAACAATTAAAACAACCTGACACTTCATCGATCAGATTATTAAGAAAAAACACAAAAATCAAGAAATCATGGAATTCGAGATAATTAGGAAAAAAAATTAACCACCCAATTGATTTATTAAAACGAAAAAAAATAAAAATAAATAAACACCATTTGGGTTGCCTCCCAACCAGCGCCATTCTTTAATGTCTTGGGCTAGACACAGTTTTGGTGCATCACGGTGGAAAATTGTAAGCTCCACACATAACTGGAACTTGTGAAAATCCTACAAAAATCTCAACAAAACCAGAGTAGGAAGTTCCTAATTTATATGCACACTTTAAATCAACATAAGATGGTGGAAAGTGATCTCCTCTAAATGTTTCTTTAAAAGTACCACACTTTCTCCACACATATACCATGACATCATGCATTAAATTCATTCCACAATCATCAAGAAATTTTAGAATTACATTCATCTTTATCCCCAATTCAGGAGGTCTAGATAAATGTCCATATGGAAACTCTATATACATAGGCACGTGTAAATTCAAATTTTTGAGATTGCCATTTCTCACAAATTTCATACACAAATTCAAAAATACAATTACTAGAAAAATCAACTCGTGGAGCACTTTTAACATTCAAATTCACATATTCCTTTGATAATGATGTGACTCCATTTATCATTTTTATCCTAGAAGTTTTTCGAAATGATCTACTTAAGAAGCATGGACTTGGGTTTAAGCCTAGATTTTCTTTCACATTAATCGCATCAAAATTAGTAGAAAAAATATTTTCACCACATTGGACAAATAAGCCATCTTCAGCACACAAAAGACTAGCACAAGACTCATCAACAAGTTTTATAACTTTATCAGTTTCATAACTTTATCAGTTTCATTCAATGACACAAGTTTCAAGAACTTAAACACAGACCGAGGAATGATAATAACGCCAACTCCAAAATCTATGATAAATTTATCACTTTTAATATGTCTAAAAATACATGAAGGAGTAGGTATACCTGTATCATGGCATTTGAAAAGTAATTTCGGTTGGACTATATCAGAGAGATTTTCTCCCACTGAAATTACCTCATTACCTTGGAGTGTAGATTCATTAATTTTGGTGCACAAATCCTCTTCAAATTCATCATCACAAGGGAACTCGTCAAATTCCTCCGAAAGACGAACATGAACCTCTCCATTGGAAGATGTATCTATAGCATCTTGTTCATTCTCTTCTTCTTCCGGTTCTTCTAACATATCATAAAAAGGAGTAACAATTGAATCAGTCAAACTAGATAAAGGAAAATTATCAGTTACCTCATTTGCAACTTCTGTAGACTCTTCTTCATCTTCCATTACTCCTTCGTCCTCTGAATCCCATAGCTCAAAGTCTTCTTCACTTGGTGTTTTTAACTCACTATTTTGGATAGTCTCTTCATTCATTCCTGTAACCATCTCAGATATTTGTCTATCCAAATTCTCCCTGCGGGCACCTCTTTCCTGACAAAATTTTTCTATGTCAGTGGACAATTTCATAACCATATCTTCTAGATACATACCTGAGTTTGGTGACACTTCTGGAGGTTGACATGCTTGTGGTGGTGGTGGTGAGTGATAGTCATAGGAGTAGTCATGGTTGCAATCTCAATATCCTGGCCAACTTGGATCATAACTGTATGAATTGGATTCATAGCTTGCTTGTGGGGATCTCCAAGATTCTCTTATGGCATTCACTCGTTTCCGCTGGTAGTATGAAAACCTTGGAAAAAAATCTCATGTATGACCAATCAAAAAACAAACACCACACCTTTACAATTGTTGTGATTGACCTGCAGCCAAACTTGTCACAAGAGAGGTTAGTTCATCTAATTTTTGTTCAGTAGATGAAACGTGTACCTCTTTGGCACTCCAATTAAAGCCATCGCGTTGGTCCCAAAACTGCTGTCCATATGCATCCATGGTAGGAAAAAAAAAATAGAACAAAAAAAAAAGTTAAAAGAAACAAATCAATGTACACCGTTCCCCGGCAACAGCGCCATTTTGGTGCGGTGTCAAGCCAACAAACAATTTAACCTACTTTAAAACTAGTAGCATAGGAAAGCAAGGTCGTCTCCTCAGGGAATGGTGGATTCGTTTCTTTCAAATAAGTAACTGAAAGGGGGGTTTTGAGTTTTTAAAACTAAAATGTAGTTAAAATAAAATTCAAATGATAGTTAAAAAAAAATGAAAGCAAATTATGAGAAAGTTTCTAGTCAAAAGATTTTATATTCACCTTAGTCTAGACAATTGATCATAGATGCAATGATATGCTCAATCACTTATAGGCAAATTAGTTTTCGTGGTTGGAACCTCCTAACAACTTAATCTTGAACTAAGTTCAGTGATTAAGAAAACTTTCATTAAACACACTAGTCGAAATTCAATCCTAAAACCTCCTAAGATTAAGAAAACGACTGCATTAAGTACAAAGACCCAATTCTGATTCCTATGAAATAAACTTTGTTTAATAAAAAACCAGATTACTTGTTCATATAAAATAACAAAACCACTTACCAAATAATTTAATTATATCAGTCTCTTTTAAAACAACAAACCTTGCTGCCTTATTGGTTGTTAACTATCATGAAATAATGAATGCTACCAGCTATTCATGAATTCAAAATCTTTATATCAATCATTCAAAAGAACAAGCAAATACTTACAAAGAATTGAGAAATGAAAAATTTTTAGATCTCACAACTATTAAGAACCAATGTTTCAATATGTTTCAACTGAAAAAGTAATTTAGTTACACATAATAATGCCTTACTGAAACAAAACTATGGAGAATGGGGAAGAATAACGCCCAAAAGGGCTAGATTGGCGGCTTAATACCACTCCAGTCTCCTCTTCTTCTTCTCACGTTCAGCCCTCCTCCAAAAGGAAAGAATAAAATCAATTTATATGGGAACAAGTAGGTCAGCCGCTGGAGACAAACAAATAATCCCGAAATTTTCAATTGGGTCCCTCAAGTTTTGCAAAATTATATTTTGACCTCAAAACTTTTTTATTTTTTTATTTTAGTCCTTATTTCGGTTTGGCCAGACGGGAATGCAGCATCAATGCTGGAATTTCTTCTATAAAGCTCAATTTTGGAATAAGATTCGTGTGCCCACACGAGAATATGATGTCATTGCTCCCTTATTGTACTTCCTTATCAAAATGATCCAAAAATGCTCGTTTATGTAACATTTTTCTCTATCTCGGGTCCAAATACTCCTAAGAACCAAAAACATCAAAATACACAGCATAAGTGCGCAATCTAATCCAAAATGCTATACAAATACCCATAAATAACATGAAACTTCAATACCTATCAATCTACTGCCTTTGTGTTTGCCTATCTACTTCTTTCTTTGGATTTTATCCTTCCTACTAAGTGATGGTACTCTTCTTTTCATTCTTCTTCTTCCATTTGTTGTTAAAATTAAAAGCATAAAATTTAAAACTTGTCACCACTTTCTTTCTGGTATCTTCTTCAGTTCTAGTTCAAACTTTTCAAGAGCTTCATGAACAAAATATTGTCTTGAAAATTTATGAAGTAACTTAATCTTTCCTTCGATTAACAATTCACAAAACAATTAAACAACAATTGTGAAATCTGAGTGGTCATTATAAGTCAAAACACATGAGAAACTTTCTGAGTAACTATTCAAAAGAAAAATCCCCAATTCTGCCGCCTTGACAACCCGTCGTGGTCACCACGAACCTTATTCCCCCTTAACCCAAAATTTGGCCATTATTGCAGCTTCCAGGAGCTATTTCACCTCTCCAGCACCCTCGTTTCTAATTACGGTTCCAAAAACAGGAAGAGCAATTATTTTTGTCGTTATCGTTGGAGGTTAAGGTGGTGGTGGTGGCAGCGGTGTAAGTCGAAAATTAAAAAAACTACACGATCAAAATATTTGTCGGCTGCTTCTTTGGCGCGGCCATAATTACATGGCTAATTTTCATAGTTAAACAGAAAATCTTCAATTTTTGATCAATCTATATATAAGGCATCGAAAAATATTAGGGTAATTCCAAGGATGAAGATAGATTTAAGAATACTTTTGGAAGCTAAAATACAACTAGAGTACATTTCCACACTCAAACTCGTGCGTTTCTAACGGTTGATGTTAAAAAGGGCACTTCTTATCCATTTTACAAACTTGAGAGACAAACCATAAAGGGGTTCATTAGATATTTGTTTACCGCAAGGCGTAATCAAGTAGTTTTGGATACCACAGTGGGGCAACTGGTGGTAAACCGACTAACCTAATCTGCACACAAAAAATTTACAATTAATCCATATACTATATAAACTTACAACTAAGTCCCTAGAATATTAACCCGTGAAGAACAAACATATCATGGAGGATCATACGTATTCTTGGAACCTTTTTATATATGATTTACATCACCCATATCCTATCTACATCACATGTTAGGAAAAAAAAATCATGGATTCGTTTGAGAAATTGTGTGACACGGTATGCTTAACTCATCATGCTAGAAAAATTATAAAAGAATTTGACGGAATTAATGTCACAAAAAAAAACTGAGGCAAGTAAGATTACAAACCTTAGAACAAATATTCAAACGCTGGGTTACTAATTAAATGTATACATCAAACAAAAAAAAAAGCAAATTTACTAATTAATTTGGTAGACTGGCAACAACAAGTAATGGGGTTTTCTTAATCGTGACCAGACCATGAGCTTCAATCATGTCCAATTCCTCAGGTTTCTTTCCATCAGCCAATTTAAAGTTAAAGTTAAGAATCAAGTTGGCAAGTGCAAGCTCTGCTATAACTAAGGCAAAGGCGGAACCAGGACAAATTCTCCTTCCAGAACCAAAAGGTAAGAATTGAAAATGATGTCCTTTTAAGTCGACAGGGCTGTTATTTAGGAATCTCTCTGGTCGAAATTCATCTGGTCTTTCCCACGATTCAATGTCTCTTCCAATCGCCCAACCACTGATGTAAACGAATGTTCCGGGTGCAATATCATAACCCAGGATCTTTACCGCCTTTCTTGATTGTCGAACAAGGAACGGAGCCGGAGAATGCATACGTAAGACTTCTTTGATAACTGCTTTAAGATATGGTAAACTTCCTAAATCCTCGGTGATCATATCAACTGATTTCGACTTACAACGTGACAATTGTCTCACCTCATCTTTTAGCTTTGTCATTGAAGTTGGGTTTTTTAGTAACTCCGCAAAAGCCCATTCTAAAAGCGTACATGTAACACAAAGTAAATTTATAATGATTGTTTTTGAAATCAAAAATTCAGAAATATTATAATGTAATACATACAGTAATAATTATTACATTACGGTAGCCTCCCCCAAATTCCCATGTTTACATTAATCTGGGAAAGTCTATTTGAGATCAACACATTATAAGATTATAAATAAAGAATTGACTTCATTTTTTGGAACAAGATGTCCAATTGGACCAAATATAATCAAATCACCAACGTTAATGAAGAAGATGTTGCGAACTTTTTGAACTTCATGGAGAAAATATATTGCATATAGAACCATGAAGTGGAAGTTGGAGTGGGGTGTAATTACTGCAAAATCAAACAACTATATATCATTAAGACAACTACCATTACTCCGAGTATATGCTGGGCAATTCTTATACCGTGCACCATGGTTCATCATACTTGGTGCACAGGCTACTTAGTACATTATAATTAAGGAACGAGCAATTAATTAAATCGGTAGTAACAATTTAATTAATTTCTTTTTCCTTATTTATTTTTTTCGCATCATTCTTACAAATTCAAATGAAGTAATCTTTCACTAATTTTGAAATTATCTCCTCATTTAAACTCAAACGCATGTTAAGAATCAATCCCGATTTTCAAATTTTCATGAATGACCACAATATTTTTCATGCTAGAACCATCTCATGATCATGTCATATATGTTCAACTTTTATGACGTTAAATTAAAAATATGAAATTAACAAAAAAGGTTTGCAAATTTAATATCCATACTCATATTATATAATATTCATGAAAGATTATTCAATTGTTCAAACAAATAAAAATATATTAACCAGGTCTTGTTTTGTAAAATATCAAATGTCATACTCATATCATAGGAAATTCATTACTGAGAACTATGTTATTCATGTCATGTACATCTAAATTTCATTACTTTGAAAAAGAAAATCACAAATGAAAATTTATGGTTATTAATGTTGTGTTCACACACATATTGGACTATTCATAAAAATGATATAAAATGTTCATAAAAATTGGGAAGTATGTATAAATTAATTTTGTGAGCTTATGAAGTATAAATGTTCATATTCATTGCAGAGAATATTCATGAATGCTAATCTCACTTTTCAAATTATGTGTATTTAAATTTCACAAGTTTTCATGACACGGATAAGATTAATCCCAAATGAAAAAAATATATATAAACACTATATAAAATAGTGTTCATGGAAATTTTGCAAATTTTCATTTAAAAAAAAGAAAAAAATATTAATAAGTTGTTTAGAAATTCATATAAACCTATTGAGAAAATCTTGATTGAGAATCATTTTTTATTCATAAGATACTGGTGATAAATTTAAATTGTTTCCAATTATCAGTTTACGTTAGTAATTACGACTTAGAATATTAATTTTTTTTGGATTTGAAAATATGATAAAAGAAATTGAATGTTGAGAGAGAATGGAGTTAGCAATGTAATGGCAATTTAATTAATTTTTCATTCTATAATTAGGTTGTATTAATAAGACAAATGCACCAAGAATAGTGAACCTTGTTCACCATATAAATTGCCGACGCTGGGGGCCCCAAAGTTTGTTCAAAATTAGCAAAAATGCATACTACTTCCATTTATGTTACATGTTCACAAAAGAAAACAATGATTGGAAATTTGGTTTATGAATGTATTACCTACATTAACCCTCATTAAATTTATTTATTGGAACTATCAAAATATAAAAACCATAGTAGAGAAGCACTACCTCTATTTTTTTTTTAATTAGAATGTAAGAAGTTTTATATTTTTAAGGAAACATTAGATAACTTTTTCCCGATTGTCGCGTTGACCCTTTGAGCTAATTTACCCACAATACTTACTCTAGCAAAAATCATCAATGTAATAAGGTTAATTTAGTAAATCTTTAATACATTTGAGACAAATAACAAAAACTGATTAGTTTTATTGGTATGTGTAAAATTAGTTATTGGCATCTTATCAAAAGGAATGGATGTGGTAGGGTTATTAAAATTTGAGAAAGATAAGAGTAAAATTACAGAAAAAAAAAATGTTGTTCATGATCCATTGTAAAATGAAGTGCGACAGATGACGAAAACATATTATATCTCCTCTGATGCTGACTTGTAAAAGAAAAAAAATGGAGGAAATAGTTGAGTGAAATAAATTATAAGTTAAAGGATGGATATTGGAGCTTACCAAAATAAGAGCTTTAATTGAATCAATATCGGGAGTGAATCCAAGGGCATTTTCCTGCTGGAGGCCAAGCAAGATATCCAAGAAATTTTGCGGCCTTTTGTCCTCTTTACAATCACGACCATTGATACTCCTGCTGCTCATCATTTTTTCAACACCTTGTTCAACAATACTTTCTATGTATTCATCCACTTCTTTTGCAACCCTATTCACCTTTGACTCCATACCATTGATGCGATTAAGCCATCCAAGCCAAGGGATGAAATCGGCAACATTTGGATACCCACAAATCATTGTGCACTCCGAAAACAACTCCTGAAACCGATTCCCATTTTTCAATTCTGAGTACCTCTTCCCAATGGCTGCGGAAGAGATTATGTTATTACTAAACCTTGCTAAAATCTCATTTATGCGTACAGTGAAACCTGAAAAACAAGATTCCCTAATGCTCCCCAACATGTTGATGATCTCTTCTTCACGTAGGCTTCTGAATGATTGAACCATCTTGGTCGTCAGAAGCCTGGAAACTGTAACGAGTCGCATTTGCCTCCAATATTCCCCGTATCGCGAAAATCCGATATCCTTAAAATCGTAGAGAAGTCTTCCGACAAAGGTTGGTTGAATCCTATCCGCAAAAATGAGGTCGTTTGTCCGGAGGATTTGTTCAGCTACCTCCGCGGAAGAGATCACGATTGCTTCTCTTCGACCTAGCCGGAGCCGCATCACCGGACCATATATTTGAGCCAATGCTCTCAATCCACGTTGTGGGATGCTTAAGCGGGCGACCTGGTGAAGGTTTCCGAATATAGGAATTCTTGGTGGTGAAGGTGGGAGGCTTTTTGCGGGGTTTTCTGTGTGATTTAGCCATTCGCAGAGAAAGATAACGAAAAGGATGAGTGGAATAAGGACAGGGATGAAATTTTTGAGTAGCATTAATGATGTCTTAGCTACCATGAACTCCAACTGGAAGGTGGACAGATCCATACTAAGTTGACAGGGATAGTTTAATTTTTCTTTTTTTTTTGGCACTGTTTTGCTACTTTTATGGACACATAGCCTCAGCTGAATATGTTGTCTTTTATAGATGATAAATCACAGCAAAAGTTCCATACACCTGAAATTAGTCAAATTAGTTGTGTAGGTAGTTTAAAAAAGAAGCGAAGAATCTCAATCAAAATATATCTCCAGCCAGTTGTTAGAACTTAAATTATTACATAAGGTGCCACCACGCTGTCCCATACCTCCATTTTCTTTGGACTGATCATTATGAAATTAAACTTCAATCAATGATGACAATGGCGCTTCAAATCTTTTCGGGATTTTCCTTATTTAATTTTCTTTGGTCCAACGATTCTGCGAAAATAAACAATAGCATTGATAAGGGCCAAAATAACATGTTAAAAGCAAGACTTTTTAATCTCTTTTACTTGTAATTTATGGTTCTTAGTAAAGAGTTGTTTATTTATAAGTGAATTTTGTGTTTTTGTATGATCAAGGGGCCAGAGTGCAAATATGACCAAAAAGAGGACAATTCATGCAAAATTTGAAATGTGGTGATTGGACTCGGCTGCAAATTAAGGAAGAATGTGAGTGATCGGACTTCAAAAAGGTTGCTGATTTTGGGGCTAAAGTTAAGTTCAAAAAGGTGGAAAAACGGAAATGCTTAGGGGAAAAAAGGACAAGTTATGAGCATGTGCTTGATCCAAGTAAAAGGCAACCTTGACTCTTTGGAATAGCAAGATCAATTATGCAAAAAGGGACTCAAGAAAAAGGTTCTATAAATGGGTGAGATCAGAATCAGAAGAAGGGAGTTATCTTTTTAGAACACAAAAAGGTGAAGTTCGAGTTGCAGTGCACTGGAGTTGTCCATTCTGGGAAGAAGTCACCTGAGCAGAACTAAAAAAATCCCCGAGTTCTTCTATCTCCAATTGTTTTCTAGCTTTGTAATGATGTTGAATGCTCTGTATTTAATCGGCTTTGTGTTTGTGCTTGTACATATAAGTAAACTCTTTACTAGGGCCTAATCCCTTGAATCGATGTAGTTAGTTTATCAATTGCACTCGGATGATTTTAAATTCCCAAAACTAAAACTTAAATTAACTTTTTTATTAACCTAATCAATTAATCAATTGTACTTACATATTATACAAATCCGGAAATGATAAGCATAGTTTAGAACATTTAGTTTTAGTCCATAACATGGAGGTAACAGTCCAAGAATTAAAATAAGATAGGAATATAGCTATTTAGCATGGGTGATCAAGAAGACCTAAGAAATTAAAAGTTTTGTGAGTTAAATTTTCATTGTTTAATATTGCAATATTGCAAAGACGCCTATTAAAACAATCAGAAGTGATCTTGAGGTATAATAGTGTCTAATCAAAAACAAGTTCATACCACAAGATTGCAAAAGTTCATAACTTTAACTACACAGAGGATGATGGAGGAAGACTGTAGGTTCCCGTCGTTTTGTTAAGTCTTTTTTCCGCTTACGTATGTTATGGCTGTCAGTCTGTTCATGTTTTCCTGTTTGTTTGTCAGATTATTAAAAGTTTAATCCGCCTTTATGGGATTGACCCAATTTTATAATTGTCTGCAGTATGTATTAGTTTTTATTTTATTGGATTTGGCACCTGTCAAGCATCTATGGTAACTTTTACTAAAATAACCTCAATTATTAAATAACCTAAACTTAATGCCTCTTCGCATCAAATAACCTCAATCACGTTTCCTCCGTTGAAAATACAATTGGCGGCAACACTTTCTTATACTGATAAAATTATCATATTAATGATTTGTATGGTCTGCAAGGATAGCATGTTACAATGATGGTCTGCTATTGATTAGCGGTAATTTTGGTATTGGATAATTTTATTTTATTTTTTTTGTTGTAGATGCCATTTTTTGCTTTGTCCAAATAAATTGCCATTTTCTTTTTCTCGAAGAGGACATAATAAAGAAACAAATGAATCAAAAGGGCCAATCTAAAGGTTTATAGTTTTACGACATGATGCTTTTGGGGTTTGTTTTTCCTTTGAGCCAATGCTCCAAAATACGTTGTTCAATAGGTATTATTTTTATCGCAAAAAAAAATCTATATTAAATTTTAAAATTTATAGTAATTTTAGTACAAATGTCAAAACTCAATGTCAAAAAAGAATCTATATTGAATTTTGTGATTTAGATTAATATTTTTTTTGGTCTTAAAAGTGATTAAATTCTGATGGACAAAAATATGGTGGATATCCAATTTAATAAGATGGATAACCAACTTATTTTAAATTGGTTATCCATTGTGTTCTTGCTGATTATCAAACCAATTTGAACTGGTTATCCATTTTATATGTACTGCATATCCATTTGGTTTGTACGCCTATCCAACTTATTTTGTAGTTGTAATCCCATGGGTTTGTATGCATATCCAACTTGTTTGTACTGGATATCCATTTGATTCGTATGCCTATCCAACTTATGTGTACTGGTTATACAACGGATTTATATGATTATCCAAATTGTTTATACTGGCTATCCAATCATTTTTTTTGTTTGGAAAAAAATATTGTCCAATACGCTAATACTAGTAATCTATTTTGTTTGTGCCGCTTATCCAATCATTTTTTTCCCTGAAACATGGTTATCTAATGTGTTTTTAGTGATTTTCTAATCGCTTTTTATTGGTTATTCAATTATTTTTACTGCTCGTCCAAATAAGTTTGTATTGCTTGTCCAATCAATTTTTTTTCTTTTGAGAAAATGCTTGTCCCATGTGTTCGTTCCTACTGATTATCCAACCACGTGCTATTGTTTCTCCAGCTATTTTTTTTTTATGAAAATACATGTCCGATATGTTTGTACTTGTTATCCAATTAATTCGTACCGCTCATCAAACCTAATTTTTTCTTAAAATGGTTATTCATTGTGTCCACATCGATTATCCAACCGGTTTGAACTGATTATCCATTTCATTTATCCAATCTTTTTTTTTGAAAATCGTTGCTCAATATGTGAATACTGATTATCAAATTAATTAGTACTGCTTATCTAACCCAGTTTTTCTTTTTATTATTTTTTTTGGAAAAAAATAGTTGTCTAACACGTTCATATTGATTATCCAATTGTTCGGTATAGATTATCTAACCATTTTTTTCTCTACTCTTTGCGAAAATCCTTGTCAATTTTTTTTCTGTACTGACTATCCAACCGTTTTGTATTGGTTATCTAACTGTTTTCACTGATTATCCAAACTGAATGTCTTTTCCTTTTTTTCTTTTGATAAAATATATGTCCAATGTATTCATACTGATTTTCCATCCGGCTTATTGGTGATGGTTATCTAACCTTTTTTTTCTTATTTTTTTATGAAAATGATTGTCCAATTTTTTTGTACTGATTATGCAACCCGTTCGTACTGCTTATCCAATTATTTCTACTGGTTAACCAAATTATTTGTAATGTGTTCATACTGATTATCCGAATTTTTGGTGATGGTTATCCAATTTTTTTCCTTTCTCTTTTATGAAAATGCTTGTCCAATTATTTTGTATTGATTATCCAACCAGTTTGTACTGTTTATCCAATCATTTTCACTGGTTATCCAACTGGTTTGTAATTGTTATCCACTTATTTTTCCCTTTTTTCTGAAAAAAAATGGTTGTCCAACGTCTTTGTACTGGTTATCCAACACAAATAGTTTCTTTATTTCTGCCTGGAATATTTTAAATTTTTTATTTTTTGAAATTAATATTTGATATTGATCTTATCGGATAGATCTTATCGATTATTATAAATTTTATGTATAATTCAGTTTTTAATTATTCACGGACCAAGAGATATAAAGAACACAACAATATGAATGTAAAATAAGTTGGTTATCCATTTTCTTAAATTGGATATCCACCTTATTTCTACCCATCAGAATTTAATTATTTTAAAGTCTGAAAAAAAATATTTCGTATGGATCTCGTTGGATAGATCTCGACGAGTACAATAAAATTCATGTGTAACACATTTTCTAATTTTTCACGAATTGGGAGATATACTCGTTTAAAGATTAAAGATATTTTTTAGAGGAGAGAGAAAAAAATGAAAGTGACTAAACTTGCAAAATATAAGAATATTGAAGAAAAATATAATAAGGACTACATGTGCAAAAAATAGGAGGGGGAGCATGGTGCTTCTGGATGCACCTAATAAATTGCCATGTAAAGAGGGGGGGGAGGGGGGGAGAGTTTACTCATATTTAAGTGGGGTACATTAGGGTAGATTTTTAAATAAAAAAAACCTTTAAGATTTTTTTTTGCTAAAATTAGTGAAATCAAATTGGCAAATATCAACGAGAAAAGTTTAACTTTCAAATGTCAACTTTAACTTTTTAAACGGACACTTCAGATATCAGATTTAAAAGTTAAGTTTTCAAAGTTGGTGTATTTACTTATTGACTTTCTAGTTAAAGATAAAGTTGATGTCTCTAATTTTAACTTTAGTGAAGTGTTCTTTATGTGAGATTTTATTTGATTTTCATACAGTCTAGATATATTCAGGGAAAAAAGTTTCCTAAAAGCATTAACGAAGGAAGATTAATCTTCTTCTTCACCTTCTTCTACTTCTACTCTGTTTTTTTGTTTTATTTTTTATGAAATATTTGATTTAATTTTATTGAATTTCCATAATTAACATGTATTATTCTATTCAGAATCAAGGAGATATGATTCTGTAATATTTAGCATTAATGATAAGTGATTCACTTCCCACAATTTGATCCCCTACTTCTTGTATAAATAGGGAGCTCATTCATGCTTCAAAGGACATCTGAATACAAGTCTCTTATCTCACTCTACTCTCTTGTCTCTCCTCTTTGTTCTTATTTTTAGTTTCATATTAGTAGTCTAGCATTAATTTTATAACACGTTATCAGCACAAAAACTCTAGCAAAAGAGCTTCAACCACTGTCTGAAATTGGTGCGTATTGATTCTGAAGGCCTGAA